ACTCCTTGTGACTCATGATTTCCAGTTAAACTGTTTTGTTCTTCGTTATTACTATTCCTTTGTCTCACACCTCTGTTTACTGTCTATATTATGCATTTCTCCTACTTTCTTCTCTTGCTTTGTGTGCTACATGGAGTGTGGCGACTTGAACTGCCGCACATATGTGCAAAGTTCTATGTCGAAAACAGACAGAAAGACACATTGGTAAACGGAAAATAAGATTATTATTAAACATAATTAATATTGTACTCTACAAAAACTAGACAATACATATAAGTCACCTGTAAGACACAAAACACAAGTGACTCAACACAACTGTTTACATGTGTGTACTACTGCTGTCTGCAAATGTGTGAATCAGATGAGAAATAACAACAACTGGTCTCATCACAACCAATAATTTTGTTTGAAATACCACCAGTGCTCATTACAAATACATTTCTAATAATTAGAAATCAATCTATATTTGTCAAACAGATGAAAGGCTGAATCATGCTGTCTCACAGTTAGTGTCAGTTGCTGTTCAGGGTTTTGTAGGGATTTTAAGTGACTTCAGTATGGATTATGTCACGAATCGGAATCAGTCAGAGAATCACTGAAAAGCAAGGGGTACATGGCAGGCGTCTCCTCTTAGGTTGGCATTCCTCAGGAACGCCCACCCGACCAAGGATCGCAAAATGACCTAATGTGAAGTCTTGACCGGGGTGGGGCATCACATCAAATGTGAAGCTGTCGTTCATCTATGGCATTGGTTGGTAACAATGTTATATCACAAATTGACAGAAGTTAGAAGTCACCGCCGTAGCTAAGTATTCAGTCGATTGGCGTCTTAACTCGCCAATCCTGAGTTTGATCCTTGACGGGGTTGTCTGTGCTCACTGCTGAGGAGTCCTAGAATAAAACAAGACGGTTATACTTGAGCAGTGTGGAAAAGTATAGTTCCATTTTGGACAAAATCGTATTTTCATAAAGTCACACAGTACTGATGATGTTTCGAGCACAATTTATTGTTCATAATCATAAAAAGCTACTCACATAACTTTATTGCTTCGTTTATATACTCGGGTAAAAATTGATAAGACTAATGTCTAATGTTTAATTTTATCCATAAAGGAAGGAAGACGACTATCTAGAGCTCTTTGATTTTCAATGACTCTTCCAGTGATTTTAGTTCGTGATCAAATCCACATTGACATCACAACAACAACTGCACAGATGATTATCTATGGCTAGAGAGTGAAAACTTCTTATTGATTAAAGCAAACAACAGTTGTCGACCCTCTTCTGTAGTAATATCAGTAAAGGTGAGTGAATTCAGAAAACAAGCAATGAATGACACAAAACGTATTACAGGATTTTCATCATGAGCTGACATTAGTTAGAGAACCATTGGAAAACCTGGGAGTACTGGACAGCTGTTAAATCCCAGGACCTTCTGGTTACAAGGCGAGCTCGTATACCATTAAGCCACTGGGACCCAATCCAATGGCCCATGAATTCTAACTTCTGCCAATTCACGACATAGCACGACCCCTAGCCAATGTCTTCGGGAAGTATTTGTCCTCACACCCCACCTGCTGCACCCTACTGGTCACGACTTCTCACTAGAACCCCCCATTGGATCGGGTCCCAGTGGCTTAACAGTATACGAGCTTGCCTTGTAAACCAGAAGGTCCTGGGTTCGAATCCCGGTGGGTGCGTACCGCTTAAGAGTCCCAAACTAGGACGAAACAGCTGTCCTGCACTCCCAGGTTTTCCAATGGTTTTCTAGCTAATGTCAGCTCATGATGAAAATCCTGTAACCAATCAACCAAATCCCTACAAACCAACACTTGAATAACAAAACTTATTCTTTAATTTCAACTGTTATCTTATTTCAAATGTTGCAGTTACAATGAACTTATTGATAACTAACGATTAAAAGCAAGAACAGTTCAAAAGTTGATCCTATACAACACGGACAAATAAAACAGTTTATACTAATGATGAATGCATGCATATATATATAAGTAACATACCGCATACTGAGCGCAATTTAACAAACAGTTAAATTGCAGAAACAAACAGTATGAATTGATTAAGTAACCAGATGTATGGACTATACAATATAATTCAAACACTGAAAGCTAAGCGCTCAACATGACTTTACACCAGGTGGTATCTAATTATTACACCTGTTATTTCATTTCAAAGTTTAATGAATTTACTTACTTTAGGCAATAAAAAACTACTTTAAAATCAAAGATTGAATCTACCCAACTAACTAATACAAGTGAACAAAGACCAATTCCTTGTATTTGTCAAAAAAAGAACATAACGAAATCAGAACAACTGGAGTGAATTGATCATACTTATTCTAAAAATATCATCATCTGTATTCTGTTCTGTTACACATCAGACGTCGTACTTACAAATTATGCTCTATAAGGATAATTATAGTGTTCTCTAGAATGACACAGAATTCTATACTTAAAGCCAAAATGTTCTTATTCTTTGAGTTCTGAGTGGAAAATAGGGGAACTCAAGCTTCAAAGTTTCAGTAATGGTTGTGCTGTTTTTACGAGGTGGGGTTGCTAGCTTCACACCCAATCCACCATCCACCCACCCACTCACTTTCCCGGACTTACTACCAGCTAGGCGTCTGGATTATGCGTCAGACAGTGGGAAACGAGAAGACAGGGATATCCTGAACCGACGTGAAGAACCTAGAAGACCTGGATTTCGCGGATGACTTATGTTTGATGTCACAAAAAATCGAAGACTTACAAGCGAAAACCGACAAACTGGTCGAAGAAGCAGCCAGAGAAGACAGGACTCCAGGTGAACATAGACAAGACGGAGGTTATGAAAATAACCAACCAACAACAACAACAGCAGCAGCAACATCCAGCGCCAATCACCATCAACGGGAGGGATTTGAAAGAGGTTACTTCATTCACTTATCTAGGGAGCATTGTCTCAACTACAGGAGGAACGGACGAGGATGTCAAATCGAGAATCGGGAAGGCGAGAAACACACTCATCAACCTGAAACCAATCTGGAAATCTTCGTCACTCAACTCAACATCAACAACAAAATTCGGATTTTCAATACAAACGTCAAGTCAGTCAGTTCTTCTATACGGATCAGAAACTTGGCGGCGGGTCACAAAGAATATTTCCAACAGCCTGTTGCAGACCTTTATCAACAACTGTCTTCGCTCTATACTCAAGATCAGATGGCCGGAAAGAACAAGAACCAACAAGAAACTATGGGAACAAACAAAACAAGAACCAATCACCCAGCAAATATGCAGGAGAAAGTGGAGATGGATTGGACACTCGCTGAGGAGGCCGCTGGGTGACATCGCGCGTCAGGCCATCGCTCGAGTGGAACCTGAAAGGGAAGTGGTGAGTGGGACGTCCAAGGGTGACATGGAGGAGATCGTGTGAAGAGGAGTTGAAACAGTATGGACTAACATGGATGCAGGTGAAAAGTACAGCAGAAGACAGAAGCAAGTGGAGACGTGCAGTTGAAGCCCTATGTTCCACTAGGAACCCAAGGGAACAATAATAATAAGGCGAGCGTTAAGGAGTGAGTCAGTTAGGAATCGAACCTGAGCCTCAAGCGTCGCTGGTGACCATTCCTTTTATTTAAACGCTGACGCTAGAGTCATTGTTACTTCAGCTTAATGCTCTTAATGGTAATTGTTGGTACTTAGTTGTAGGATTCAAGATTGTATTCTCTTTCATAAGTTATCAATAACAACAAGAAGTTATTCCATATTGATTTGGGTTAATAGTGGAAGACTTTAAGTAAAGTAATGATTAAAGTCAATAATACTTAGCATTGTGGCTGGAATATCACAAAGTAAAACTAAAGGTTTCAGGTAAATCTACATAATAAAAGGAACGAAATTTGTGATAAAGGTGTTCTAAGGGTTATTTTTGATGCCATTAAAAGAAATTAATGACAACTAATGCCATGCAATAATATTGTTCCTTTATATCATAACACTTGTGTTACAGCGTTGTAAGTGGTGGTCGATTTAGAAGTCTTTTGAAGTGTCCATCCCAGTGTTTCCTTTGCTCCACCTCTTTGGTGAGTGACTTTCCATTGTCATCCTTCACTGGCTTAATTTGAGTTGATCTCTTCCTCGATAGGAACCTAGTTGTTTGATAGTGTTGCGAGGTCTCCTTTGCCTGCAGCTTGTTTCGCTTCACTTGCCATAGCTTCATAATATATTTTCTTTTGTCTTCCCTGGCACTCTTCTTTACTCTTTTGTTCAGTGTATTGTAGCTCGCATTCAGCTCCTGTTTCTGTTGCTCGTCGATGCACTGGATAATCTTTTGTTTCAACATCCGTCTCTCCTCTATTAGTGTTCATGTGTCCGTAGTGAGCCACTGTTTGTCCTGTCTCTTCTTTCTGCCTAGAACTTCCATGCGGGTTTGACTCCGCAACACATTGAGGTTGTTCAAGTGTTTTTCAACGCTGGTCTCTTCCCTAGTGTTAATTCATGTCTCCGCCTTTTTCCTTATGTTTGCAGTGAAGACGTCCTTTGTGGCCTGATCCTTCAATTGAACTTGGCTTGTGGTCTATCTGCAGCTCCTGTTTCTTTGAAAGCTTTTAATTTGATTTGGAGTGTTCTTTGTACGAGATAGTGGTCTGAGCCGACGTCTGCTCCTCTTCTTACTTTTGTGTCCAGCAAGCTACGTCACCAATTCCTTTAGCAGTATTGAGATGAAGTCAACTTGGTTTTTGGTTCGCCCATCTGGTGACACCCATGTGGCTTTGTGGATATCCTTGTGCTTGTATACGCTTCCACCAATCACTAGTTCATTGAAGGCGCAGAAGTCAGCGACGAGTTCTCCGTTTTCACTCATCCCATGATGAGTTCTCCTCCCGTGTTGTCTGGTCCCAGTTTGGCGTTCATGTCTCCCATTAGTATTTTAATGTCACCAACTGGAGTATTGTCTATTGTTGTCGGTAGTTGTCTGTAGAACTTTTCTTTCTTTTCGAGGTCTCCGTTGTTTGCTGCTGCATAGTATTGTATAACTGACACTTTCCTTCCTTTGGAGTTGAATCTGGCGGTCATTATTCTGGGCGACATCGCCTCCCATTGCATCAGGGCCTTCGTTGCCGTTGGTGACATGATAGCCACACCCTCGGTGTGCATGTGGTTGACTTCTGGGTGACCGGAGTAGATCAAAGATAATTTGGTGAGTCCACTCCCATTCCATCTGCTTTCGCATATTTCCAGTACTTGAATTCCGTATCTTCTCATCTCGTTTGCAATCTGGGCAGTTTGCTAGTCTCGTACATGGTGCGGACGTTCCATGTCCCCACACAGACTTTTTCTTTTGTCGCAAGGAAACTCATCGTGCTGAAGTTCAACACATCCCATCTTGGTTTGGCACAGGTCCGAATAAAGCTATGCGCACTTCAATACCAGCTCATCTCGTCGATACTGGACATCAAGTTGACTCTAACAAAGCTTTCAAAGTTGTTTATCGTATCTCACTCAACCTGTCGCACGGAATTCATCTGAACAAGTCAAATCTATGTGTTCAAAAGAAACTTGTACAGCCCGTTTCTTTGCCATGGCCAACTACATAGTATTTATTAAATTTTAAAAACCATTTTTCCCCCTCCCCTTTGTAATTGCCTTTTGACTTTGTTATTTTTACAATTCAAGCTAATTCTGTAGTGAGAGCTAGCTGCAAGCCGAAAATTGTAGACAGTAATTTACGTCAATGTTACGTCCCGAATCGGGGTCATGAGAAAAAACAATAACAAAGTTCAACCTTGAGGAACTCATCAACCAGTCACAGCAGACTTAACGTGTGCAAATACGATTCGCAGATATATGGCCAGAGTGTCTAAGAAACGGCTACAAAGAGATGAGAGAATAACCTTCAGCAAGAAAACAACCAATCAGAAGACGTTGCTTCTCTGCTAACAATAACGAAAAATAATGTACATAAAAATCTATAAATATCTGTTGATTTTCTCAATAAACGATCTGTTGCCTGGCCTTTGTCTTCTGTCGTTACAACTTTATTAATCTGTTTGTATTTTATGGAATTCTACTGGGTTATCCTTATTTTTCTTAGGCATCACTATTTTACAAATTTCCTGACTATGTAATAACTTGTTGCTAACACCGACGAATTAACTAATCTTGAATTCCGTAATTAATTTCTACCCCTTCTTCGAAATTCAAATATCTTGTTGCTGACATCTACTATTAGTTCATTATTTTGATGGCTTTTAAACTCTTAATTTCACCAACACCTCCCACCTATACTAGAAACTGGTGGACTAAAATAACCACTCGATTGGTAAAATTTTGATGTTTAAAACTATATATATTGGTGTAGAGCAGATGATGAGGAACTAATTGAAAAAGAATATATATATTTCTTCGCTCAATTTGTTAATTTTTTTTCTTTCTAAATGCATAAATGGGGATTTGGAAATTACCGAAATCCCACTTCAGATAATTAAAACTGTAACGTCATTCTCTATCTACCATGTGAGATAATATGGCACTTATTATTCATAAGATAGTAGAAGCTGATGGCAACTAAGAATATCTGATCTTTTCAAATATAAACTATGGTGATTATATTCAAATTCTGTTTCATTGATTATCTTATGCTACTTAGGTAACCTAGCAACATGTTGGTTACTGTCAACAAGTTAGAAAAATATCTGAAAACAGAGACTTGCAAGCATACATTGATCTAATTAAATACACATATTTCCAGTTTATATTTGAAATTTGAAATAACAGTTTTAGAGGTAAACGAAACAGATATCATAGAAAATATTTTGTAGCAATCATTACGAGATAATATCCGTAGTAATTATTGTTAATATTTTATTGGAATGATCATATATGCTTGAAAGGAATATTTATCACGAAATGAGGTGAATTAAGAGAGGAAATACAGGCAAGATTAGAATGGTTAGAAGTATGATTTTATACTAGTCTAACATCTGTTACACAAAAAGGAACTCGAAGTTCATCAGGGAATAGAATCGAAAAGCAGAATTTAATGAATAAATTAAATTACCGCAGATCCAGTGTTCAATAAATTCTGATTCCAATCAGATAGTGATACAGTTTGATTCTTCTTTATTAGTATACATTCATACTATTATGATCTGTTTCTTAGTTATGCACCTAAATTCTTCAACGTCTGATTTTTCAAACAGTTGTGTAATTTTCGACATAGTCTACACTCACATAGCCACTGACTTTGAAATTGTGAAGCCTACGTTGTCTTTCTGAGCAACATCCTTAGCGCTAACTGCAATGTGAAGTGAGCTTCTGGAATTCTCCGTGGATAAATTACTCGAATTTCCTTTACCGTGATTGGTTGTCTCTAACTGTCTAACCACCTACTTATGCAGTATACAAGATTAATAATGCAACTAAAATAACAACTCATATCAACCAGCAGTTTTTCCTAGCCAGTTCGAGGTGACCCAAACGCAGATGGCCGTTTCACTCGTATGGGGCCAAGCTCATCACCAGTGTACCCGGTTTGACTCAGCTCGGAGAGGCGAATCAGTTCAAACCACACGATTTCTGGCCAGTGACTTGGGCCAACTGGAAGGCTGTAAGTAGGGTTAGTGGTGTGCCTTTGACTCAGCTATTATTATTATTGTTTCCTTTAATTCCTAGAGGAACATAGGGCTTCAGCCGTGCGTCTCCATTGCGTTCGGTTCTCTGCTAGAGTCTTCACCTGGCTCCAAGTCTGTCCACACGTTTTCATCTCCTCTTCACATGACCTCCTCCAAGTCACCCTTGCACTGACGACCAACTCGCCGCTTCCCTTTCGGGTTCCACTCGAGCAATGGCTTGTCTAGTGATGTCACTTGATGGTTTGTTTTCTCAGAGTATGGCCAGCCAATCCACCTCCATTTCTTCCTGCCTATTTGTTTCACAATCGGTTCCTGGTTGACTCAGCTAATTGATATTATTGTCAATAGGCACTTCAATTCTAGCAAGCATTTGGTTAAAGTTATCTTGTCTGATACTGAACATCCTCTTTATTCTCAAATATCTCCCTTTATCTCTTCGAGTAAAACCAGAAGAAACTTCATAAGAACTTAAGCTGGTACAACTAAATATAAAAATTTTACCACACCACCATGTTTAACACGGGTTTCCAGTGAAGAGTCAGATGTCAGACAAGAACTTCAACTTTTTAAATGACTAATTTCAACTGCAAAGTATAAGCAAAGCTTACTATTTCATGTATTATCTATGATACTCTTTACTTATATTTACTTCATTATTTTTCACCAACATTCTGTTTATAGCGGTTTCATTATTAATATTATTATTACTTAAGTCAATGCAAGAACTGGCGTGGAATTATGCTCCTGTCCATCCCAAGCAAAATACTAAGCCGCATCATCCTGGAAAGGATCAAACATGCCCTGGATGAAAAACTTCGACCGGAACAGGCTGGATTCAGGAGAAACAAGTCATGCATTGATCAGATCGCCACATTACGGATCATCATTGAACAAAGCTTGGAATGGCAGTCACCTCTCTATCTCAACTTCATCGACTTTGAAAAGGCCTTCGACAGCGTCGATCGAGAGGTGATTTGGCAACTACTTCGCTACTACGGGGTGCCACCGACAATTATACATCTCATCCAACAGCTGTACGACAATGCTGCATGCCAAGTAATCCACAATGGGAAACTTACGGAATCCTTCGAAGTGAGGACAGGAGTAAGACAAGCTGGCTGCCTACTATCGCCAATGATTTTCCTGATTGCAGTAGACTGGATAATGCGACAAACAGTGGGCAATGAGGAAACAGGCATAAAATGGACTCACACAAAAAACTTGGAGGATCTGGACTTCGCCGATGATATATGTCTGATTTCCCACAAACTGGAAGATATGCAAGCGAAAAGCAACAAGTTGGCAGAAGAAGCATCAAAGATAGGAACTTCAGGTGAACATAGAGAAAACATAGGTGATGAAGATTCCTGGGCAACACCACCAACAGCAACGACAACAACAACAGACAACGATCAGCATAAATGGAAGGAACCTGAAAGAAGCAACCTCCTTTACCTACCTACCTGGGAAGCATCGTTTCAACTACAGGCGGAACTGACGAGGATATCAAAGCAAGAGAATCGGAAAAGCAAGACAAGCTTTCACTACTCTCAAGTCTGTGTGGAGGTCAACAGCACTCAGCATCAAAAATAACATCCGGATTTTCAACTCCAATGTGAAGTCAGTGCTACTATACGGATCAGAGACTTGGCCAGAGCGTCATAAAGAGCATCTCAAACAAACTACAGACCTTCATTAACAGTTGTCTTCGCTCAATACTCAAGATCAGATGGCCAGCCAGAAAAGATCAGCAACAGAGATCTCTGGCAATGAGCGAACCAACCAGGAACCGATTGTGAAACAAATAAGCAGGAAGAAATGGAGATGGATTGGCCATACTCTGAGGAAACCATCAAGTGACATCACTAGACAAGCCATTGCTCGAGTGGAACCCGAAAGGGAAGCGGCGAGTTGGTCGTCAGTGCAAGGGTGACTTGGAGGAGGTCATGTGAAGAGGAGATGAAAACGTGTGGGCAGACTTGGAGCCAGGTGAAGACTCTAGCAGAGAACCGAACGCAATGGAGACGCACGGCTGAAGCCCTATGTTCCTCTAGGAATTAAAGGAAACAATAATAATATAATAATAATATTACTATTTTGCATTTTATGTATGTACATATTGATAAAAGAAGCTAAATTGTTGTAATATATATAAAAACACTGAAAATTACATTCTGTATAATTATTATTGTTTGGAATAAAGTGATTATTATTATTATATCATGTCATAAATCAAATTCACAATCTGCAAGTTATGAATTCGAACTATATAAACTGTTACAACTAGGTGGTAATAGTCACAATTTAATTAGTTCAAGCCTATATTTATCAAAACTGAACTATTGTATGAGGGCTTTTAAAAAATTATTAAACGATTCAAAGTCTTATGAAAAATTTTGAATTTGTTACAAGTGAACAAAGATATAATCTCTCATTTATGAAAAGGTTTCTTGTCTACAAAAACACTGAATATTGTTCATGAGAAAACAAAACACAACAATACCTAGGGTTGAATTAGTTGCGTTCTCTGAGCTTGTTGATTTAATTGCGAAGCTTTTGTTGTCCTTCTAGATAAGATGTTCATTGAAGGATTTAGTATGGAATGAACTCCTCATTTGAATTCACCATCAATACTGATGATGACGAAAGCTTCGCAGTTAAATTAACCAGCTCAGAGAACGCAACTAATTCAAAATCAACCACCTGGGCTACAAATCTTTGCCAATATTTTAATACCTGATG